CTCGAGGTGCCTGCTGAGGTGCCCCCTGCTGGCCGCACGGCCGAGGTGCCTGCTGAGGCGCCCCCTGCTGGCCGCATGCCCGAGGTGCTTGCCGATGCCGCCGCTCTGCCCGCGGCCCTGCCCGCGGCCCTGCCTGATGCCGCTGCTCTGCCCGTGGCCCTGCCCGATGCCGCCGCTCTGCCCGAGGCCCTGCCTGTCCAGCCCGGCTCACCCGTCCTGCCTGTCCAGCCCGGCTCGTCCGTAGCCCGCCTGCCTGCAGCTACGCTTGCTGTCCCAGCTCCGCCCGCAGCTACGCCTGCTGTCCCGGCTCCACCCTCGCCTGAAATCCCTACCCAGTCTCTACCTGTCCCGGTCCCTGCTCCAGTCCCCCCTACCCTGGTCCCAGTCCCCGAGGAGGTCCCAGACAGTCCAACCACCACTCCTTCCTCCTTGAAAGAGGAGGAGCTCGAGTGGGACCCCTTTCGATACCATGACACCATGCAAAACCATGAAAAAACGGGGTCTGCATGCAAGGAGTCCAGCCGGCGTGGAATGCTTCGTGAGGATAGGTTCATACAGTTAGACGTTGCTAAGCGATGTAGATGGCCGGCAACAGCCGATTCTGAATTGTGCACGCGCTCGGAAGATGAGGCTGTACGTTGTAACGAAGGTCAGTTTGCCTATTTTCCTCTGAAAATCATACGTTATATCAAAGTTTACGCTGTAAAGGTGTACGTTCTAAGCGATACTGGCAAATGGAATAATGCATTATGCGAATTCGGGACATTGAAATTTGAACGTTGTATTGATGTAAACATAAACGGGGTACGTTGTACCGAGGTTCGACTTTACTAGTTCACCTAGTGTAGTAAAAATTTTGTCCTGCTAAAGTAAACTATAGTTGTCCTTCTTTGTCCTGTGAGGAAATGCCCGTGTGGTGTTGAAGGCCCAAATAAATTAATACATCTGGCCAACGTCTGTATACAGCTATTTTTCTGCATTTCAACTGCATTTGCAAAATGTGTGAAGGGGAAACCCATATTTGTGTGAAAGTGCATGAAAAACAATTGACTATCAAAATGTGACAGGAAGCCTCTGCAAAATAAACCGCTGTATACTATTTTATACAGAATACAATTCCACTGCTTTAAAAAGAATGTCCGCCATACTGAACTGCATTAAGAAAGCCCTCACAATATGCGTACAGTGAGGAAATGCATAGGATGAGGAAATTAGGTCAATATCACATACCATTGAGCAGATATAGTGACAACTGCTCCTGAAACATGCAAATGATGTGCATTGTCCCAAAAATCTGTTCTGCTTGAGCAGTTTCAATATTATCATGCAATCTAGGCAGTATACTGTATGCAGGCCCGGATCATGGTCCTGTGAGGCCCCTGAGCCCCTGCCTTTTGAATGGCCCCCTGTCACGGAAGAGGGGGCGTGGGGTGGGGGCATACAGGTATAGTGCACATACTATGTAAAAGGTCTGGATTTTCACATCATATATGCCAGGAGGCTGGGGGCCGTGGCATTTAACTTGCTGCATGTGGAAAGGGTCCCAGGTCCCACGGTTAGCTTGCTCTCTAAATGCCAAAGGCCCTCATGGTTCACTTGTGTTGTATTGGCATCCCACCCAGGGTGTACCCCAGCCAGTCCCCCATGATGGACTGACATATGCCTCAGGTGTACCGCAGCCTCATGCCCTGTCATGGACTGGCATCCCACCCAGCGTGTATCCCAGCCCCGTGCCCTGTGATGGACTGGCATCCCATCTAGGGTGCACCCCAGCTCTGTGCACTGTGATGGACTGGTACCCACCCAGAGTGTATCCTAGCCTGTGCCCTGTAATGGACTGGCACTTCCTCTCACCCTCCAGGTCCCCCATGATAAAATTTTGCAGTGGGGGGTGGGGGGATTCTCCAGGATAAAGTTTGCCGAGTTGGGGGGGACTAAATGAATAAGAAAATATGGGACAAATCACTAAATTGTCTCAGAAAAAAAATTTCCCCGGGGACTGAGACAAAAACAGTGGGGCTGTACCCCCCCTCCACAAACACACACCCAGGGTCTAAAACCATCTATGGTTGCATGCACTTAAAAATGCTTTATGAGACATTAATGTAGTTTGCCTATAGGGGGAGCTAAAGGAGAACAAGAGAATACAGTGAAATTAAAGCTATTGTCATGCCCGACTCATCGAGAAGGGTCCAGCTGCAGACGCCTGTAGAGTGGAGCTTCACCGGAAATACGTCACCTCCACAGGAAACACGTGGCCTCAACTCTGTGTCACAGTGAATTAACCCTAACCTTAACCTTAACCCTAACCCTAACCGGAGCTCCACTTTACGTCCTTAAAGATCACGTGTTTCCTGTGAAGGTGACGTATTTCCGGTGGAGCTCCACTCTACAGGTGTCTCCATGTGTTTAGACCCTCTTGGGCTCATCCGATCCTCGTGTGTGCCACGCCTCCTCATTACCCAATTTACCCATATTTACGGCTCCATTCGTCTGCTTCCCGGCTTCCTGCTTGTTTGCTTGAGCATCGACGTGACAGAATGACAGATCTCATCAACGCACTTCCGCAGGTCGAGAAACAATGCCTCGATCTGCTCCGCAAGGTGCTTTATTGGCTGAAACTGCCAGAGGTCCGTGAGGACCCTAGCCTATGGGAACTAACCAGCAAGAGCGGGACCCTCCTTCAGGAGTGCACGTCATAGCCGACGTGCACGAAAACCTCCGGCAGCTGAGGGAAGGAGTGACAGAGAAGCAGCTCCAGCCGTTCGTTCTCTCCAGGGCAACCCTGTATCAACCAGCTAGAAAACACCGAGAACGAAGAAGAGCAGGGAGACCAAGACGGAGGAAGTCCCGACCGTATACCTGAGGGCTTGCTCTCTTCCTGCAGCCTCTCTCCCCGCTGAATATCGGGAAGAGCCCCTCCCGATACAGACGCCAGCGGGGATCACTGCAGCCGCACTGCCACCATCACCAGCAGCCTCCATATTCCAGGGTGGCCACCTGGGGTATGTGGGAATCCGGGCCGTTCTGGACGCTATTCCGCGGGTCCCGCGATCTCTTAAAGGGACAACGCATTACCGGGAAGCACCGACCCTGGACGCGCTGGCCGAGGTGCTTCCGACCTCCCGCCTGCTGCCGCCACTCTGCCCGCGACCTCACTGGCTGACGCCGCTACACCCGCGGCCCTCCTGCCTGCTGCCGGCGCTACACCCGCGGCACCACCCGAGCTCCGTGCTGCACCGCCCGAGCTCTCTGCTGCACCGCCCGAAACTCCTGCTGCGCCGCCTACAGACACGTCTATTGTCCCTGTGGTTCCATCCTCACCCGAAGTCCCGTGCGGGAGGAGGAGGAGCTTGAATGGGACCCCTCTACTTGATGGCCCCTAAGGACATTGATGATGGACTGACTCCTCCACCATCGCTTCCACGTGGTGGAGCCCGACCTGGTTCACGTCTGTCAGTTTCCCAGAAAGAGAGAGGTCACAGACGCAGGGACCGGGTCCCTCCCACCCTGGCTCGCCTGTGTGTCCCTTGGCTGTGGCTCGGTGGCTGCCTGCGGGTCTTGCGGCTCCGGCTCGACTGTCGCCTCCAGATCCCCCTCCGGTGCCTCGTCGCCCGCCTGCGGTACCTCCAGCGACGCCTCGTTGGCCGCCTCCGGGTCCCCCTGCTTCGGCTTGGCGTCGGACAGCGCCTTCCCTGGCTCCGGCTGTGCCATCGCCTGCTCCGGCTTCCCCCTCCTGCTTGCCTGCGCCAGTGTCCCCTCCTGCTCCCTCCTCTGTCGGTCCCTCCGTCTGTCTCCTCGTCCCCTGTGTGGTCCCCTCTGGCTCCGGCCTCCCATTCGCCTGTGGCCCCTGCGGCTGCCTTCCCTTGCCCGCCTGGGTTCCCTCGGTCTCCCCTTGTTCCTCCGTCCTTTCCCTTCCTGCCTCCTGGTCTGTTCCCTCCTGGTCCCTTTGTTCCTCCTGTTTCCATCCCTCGTCCCTCTGTGCTTCCTCTGTTCCCTCCTCGTCCTTCTGTTCCTCTGTTCCCTCCTCATCCTTCCCCCGTGTCTTCTTTTCTGGTTTGTCTGTCTGTGTTTCCTGTCCTTTGTCAGATTCTGCCCCAGTGCTTGTTCTGTGTTTCTGTTCTGTTCCTTGTCCCTCATTGATGTTTGCTCTTGTTTTTCAGGTCCCGTGTCCCCGGTTCTCCGTGCGTCCAAATAAACCCAATTTACCTGTATTTACGGCTCCGTTCTTCTGCTTCCCTGCTTCCTGCTTGTTTACTTGCGCATCGACGTGACAGCTATAGCAAAGACTTTAGTCACTCTTATTAAATGTGCCATTGGTACGAAACATGTCAAATTCTTATTTTTTTATTTAAATGTAATGTATAAATATCCAAAACGTAATTATTTGGTCGTTTACGAAAGCACTTAAAATATAATGCAAGAAACAATTAGCTGTAAACAGGGTGCAATGTACAATCTCTCATTATTTATAAGGGATTCAATATTAGGCAATATATTTCAATGCTAATTAAAAATATATATATATTTAACGTTTTTACAGTGTTTTTTGATTCTACGTTCGTTAATTGTATTATGCTTAGTTATTGAATTTTTACATAAGTCCAATTTGACGCTTATGCTCAAGAAGAGCGGCTAACTTGCACCCCCTGGCGGTACAACGGTTTGCCTATTTCACAATACTTAGTTTCTACTGTGTATTACCGATATTACCGCATAAAATAATATATTAGATTCTGTTTACTAATACTGCTTTTATTAAAGCTTAACAGCAGTTTAATATATCATAAAACGAAACTAATAATAATTACAATATTCACTTACTAATATCTGCTTAAATAAAACACAAGAATTTTAGCGAGTCATTTAGTATTTTGTCAGCATTTTGACCACAGCAGAACAACATTAGTAATACTTTATATTTTAGGCAATTTTCAACAGACAGATTACTAGAATAATTTTAATTATCATCCAGTATTATTTCACTGGGTCTGCGTGCGTCCTACAACCCGGAAGTACATATCACTCCATGTGTTTAGTCGTAGGTGCAGAGTAGTACCATACATCAGCTGGATTGCAGTGTAAAACTACTTAAATTTAAAGGTAGGGACATATTGGCCATATTAATAATAACTAATCTCTTTTATAAGTCGATATCAGTTGCACATTTCCCAGGCTCTGGGTATTGTATTAGCCTTACATTTCCTGGGTTCGGTGTTTTTTCATAGCATTCGCTAAGCTGTGAAATCTAATGAGATTGTTATGTAGACATGGAAAAGAGGTTTCGGTGCAATGCTTAGCATAAAGAAATGTACGTGGTTTACTAGCAAGTTTTTTAATTAATATAAAGCTAACAAAATGTACGCTTATTTGAACGTTTCGACATTTCCTAAAACGCAAATAACAAATAGGTGTTTATTTCAAAGACTTAAATATGACCCTATTCTATCCCTTGCTAGTAATCAGTTTGGTTGATCGGCAGTAGATGTTGTTAAACCCTAACTGTGAATAGTTTTCAGCAATGTCAGAAGATAAAGATCAGCATGAGGACGGAAAGGACAACATGAGCGACGCAGTTAGTGTCATCCTTGGGGCGACAGTCCCGACAGGGTTTGAATATACGGCTGCAGAAGAAGTGAAGGAGAAAACGGGTGCAGATGTTAAGATTAGTAAGGATCGTGGTAGAATATACTTCAGAATAACTACACAACACCTTCACTTGGTGAGAACCCACTCTGCAGTTCCAGCAATGCAGTCACGCAACTATTTCCGTCTTTTATTGATAATTTCTCTGTCGTTTTATTGCACTTTGGTTATACCTACATCTTCTGTATCTCTGTATTATTAGTTTTTTTTTTGCAGCATTACAGTTACAATGTAGCATTTTGCCTAATCCCATCACAGGACATTTAAGTCATCCCTGGCTCCATGTGAATCATAAATTGAACCTGGTCCAACTCTGGGGGGGGGGGGGGGTGTTTCACTGTAAGAGATTGGGAGACCCACCCTATTTCCCTTATAGTTAGTACCTTTTGGGTGTGTTTTGATTAACCTTTCCTCTTACGAAATAAAGCTCTGCTTTAAAGCAGAGAAATTTCTGTTGCTTTCACTTGATGAAAGTAAGTTCAAGTTGTAGCAGGAATTTTAACTAGAGATTGACCAGAAATGAAGGTGTAGGTTTCAAACCAAGTACAGGATAGAACAAGTTTTAGGAGAACAGCCCACTTTTCTTGTATGTAAATTTATTATCAGGGATATTTTCGATCTGTCAGGAACCAGAAGCAGATTATGTTTTGCTTGTTATGGTGTCTAACTGATAGATAGTCAAACATTGGCCTGAATCTAATAATGTAGCTATTAAAAGGAAAAAAATATCTGAAAAGCACGACTAATTTCCACATTACTGTGTTTGGAATTCAGAGCAGTAATATACTGTGCTGGTAACATCTGCTAACTGCTTAATCCTGGTCATAGTCATGGGAGGTCTGTGGCCATCATAGTAATGGGACTGACACTAATGATGTCATCTGTATAGTCTCAGTGGTTTTTCCACAATTGTTCAATGCTTCATGTATCACTATCACGATAAATAAGCTACTTTATTAATAGTATACTAAGGTGCTCTGTTCACTTGCTTAGCAATCTGTTAGCCAATACCTGTTAGACTTATACCCGTTCAAGGATTTTTGGAGTAGCTTTAGTTAAGTACAAGGGTCCCTACGGGAATTTGGCCAAGGAGCTCGGGCAGTCCATGCCATTTACCAATGCAGTACCTTTTGAGTTTGAGGTTTGTATTATTTTATGCAACTTAATAATGACTGCTGCTGTAACTATATGTGTTTTTCTGTAGGTGCACAAGTTGAGGTCAGTTGACAACTTATTTGTTGTAGTAGCAGAATTTGTGGACTACGAGTTTAAAGACACAAAGGTGAGTGCGAGTACCTGAAACTCATTCAGCAATAAAGCTGTTGATAATTCATACTTGTTTTTTTCAGATTATTATATATAAAAAATATTTGTTTATTTTTAACAAAGAGGTTGGTATAAATATCTGTAACAGTTCTGACTAGGTGATGTAAGTTACATTTATACATCAGCTTTCCCAGTAGGGCTGTGCGATATATCGTTACAGCATCGTCATCACAATGTGCACATGTGCAATAATCATATCACATTTGTTGGTACTGCCTCGCGTCTGTCGATACAACTTGTGGCAACCAACTTAGTTTATTTAGTTTATTTTAGGTAATTTTATCTCCTTCTTTGTCTTTGTCCTTCACCTATCGCAAGACAATATCATGATGTGTGATGTGACATTTCCCAGACAGAACAGATCACGAAGCAATTGTGCTCCCTGGATGAGGTGCCAGTGCATCACAGGTCACACACAAAATCATATTCTCTGGGCAGTTTATAGACACCAGTGAGCATAACTTGGGTGTGATCTGAGCCCCCAACACTGGAGGTGTGAGGCACTGGTGTCACTCCCTAAGCCAGTGTGCATGCTTAAGAAACTACTCTATATGCCAGAGTATGACATACAACCATCATCATGCAGCTTGTGATTTCAAATTAACATTGATATTTATATTTATTGTTTTTAGTTTTCATGCATCAGTCTGATTTTTTTAAATTTATCTGAATGTAATGTGTGGTTCATGTGGCTTTTATTATTGTCTATTTTCGTTTAGTTTTCATTTCTTCTTTATTTTTGCTGTTAATAGATCAGTCCAATCGAATTATTGTAGCTGCATTCGTTAAGCATACACCAAACATATGGCAGCGGACACAGTGACAATGATCTGGACAGTGCTTTTACTATGCTATACTCTTATATTACTCTTTGTAATCCTTTCGAATCGCAAAAGTTGAGTACAATCACTGGGAAATTTCTTTTTCCTGTTATATGTTGATAATCTAATTTAACTGGAAGTAGGTTTGTAGTAGGTTGCTGGTTTTTTCTGAACAATACTGCTTTTTATGATAATACAAAAAAATTACAATATGACGAGTTTAGTTGATAGACTCGATCTAATGGCATTTTGTGGTATTCAAAACAGAGCATGTGCTAATCCATGTATTGTTGATTTAACACATGTAATTCATTATTTGCCATTTCATGCCAGACTATGCGATGGGTTCATATATAATTCTTTTGGTGAAACACAGGAGGAGACATTGAAAGATTTCCAGAAGCTAGCCTCTAAACTACCATGGACAGATCCACTGGAAGTATGGAAAATAAACAATTCCTTAAAGAAGAAGAAATGGCGACGAAAAGGAACAAACCTTCCCAAGGCATATAGCAGCAGTCAGGCTGGGAAAGAGGGTGACTTCGGTGAGTTGACCATGAATGCTGAGAAACTCAAACTGGAGTCTGAAATGCCTGGAGGAGGGCTGGAGGAAAACGGATCCCCAGTACAATCTGACAGCTTGGCCAGTCAGGGGAAGGATTCAGAAGAGGTGGCAGATGAGAGTTCAACAGAAGTGCTCAAGTTTCGAGTGACGTGCAACAGAGCTGGCGAGAAGCACAACTTCACCTCCAATGAGGCTGCCAGGGATTTCGGAGGCGCCGTCCAAGATTTCTTTCAGTGGAAACCAGATATGACCAAGTTTGACATAGAGGTAATGACAGTCACTCCTCAGGGAGTCAGTTTCCCACGGTTATGGATATGTTGTGTCTTGCTCAATATTTCAATGGTTATGAGTCACCAGCATTGTGTCTGTTCAGGTCCTCCTGAATATTCACAACAGCGAGGTCGTGGTTGGCATCGCACTGACTGAGGAGAGCCTTCATCGGAGGAATATCACTCACTTTGGGCCTACAACCTTGCGTTCCACGCTAGCCTATGGCATGCTGAGGTCAACCGTGAAGCTTCTCTGCTTTCTCCCAATCAGAGCTAGAAAGAACTGACACATTGTTTCAAGATATAATGTAAACTGCATATCTGCTAACTTTTGAATGTGTTTCATCATGTAGATCTTAAGAAAAAACATAAACACTTGTAGAATCAGGAGCAGGTGTTCTGTGAGAGCTGCAAAATCACTGTTTGGTATGCAATATGTAAAGATAATTTGGTTTCTTTTTATTATAGACTTTGCAAGCCTCAAATATCTGATGTTATAATCGACCCAATGTGTGGAACAGGAGCTATACCCCTTGAGGTATGTGGGTCACAGACATTTTCCTCCAGTAATGTTTCTCAGTAACATACTGTAACACACTGTAATTGCAGTTCAGAAGACCCCCCCTGTAGCATTATATTCTTTGAAAGGAGTGTACCTTTTTCATTTTTAAATTGAGGTTAATGCTGAGGTGTATTGATCCCACAGGGGGCCATTGAGTGGAAGAACTCCTACTACTTAGCGGGAGACAACAATGACCAGGCAGTGAAACGTACACTTAACAACATTAATCACATCCACAGGAAGAGGCAGGAAAATGACGAGTGAGTCTGACACTCTCCAGCCGGTCAGATAAACCCGATAGAATGTTTTGCCATTGACATTTTACTTTTAACTAAATTGGGCACTGGTGCCTTCTTATGTTTGAGTGTAGTGCACCGTGGGGTCTGCCTGTGGACACTCTGCAGTGGGACTTGTGTCACCTACCCGTGAGAACAGCATCGGTGGACATAATCATCACGGATATGCCCTTTGGGAAGAGGTGAGTAACACAGCTTCCAAGAAACACAGCTGTATGGTGACAGAGTGGTTATTAACTGTCCCAAAATAATACTGAATTTTTAGCACATTAATACTATAGAGTGCAAAATATCAAATTAATGACAAAACTCTAAAGTCACTGAGAAAAGGAAAGCCATTTAACAAAACATAATTAAAAAATCTCAGATGTTTGGGGGATGGCGGTATTAATTCAATAGCAGTAACATGCTCCATATTATTTTAAACAATTTGTATACAAAGCAGCTCTCGGAATTCTTAAATTCATAAAAAAAACTTAGAATATCTGTGAATTAAAAAACTAACATTTTCTTTTTTTCAGTTGAAGAATGTAATGATATAAATGATATTTTGTGTGTTTTCCGGAACCCACGTGTCCATCTACAAAGAATGGGTTCAAAGAAGAAAAACTGGGATTTGTATCCATCCTGTTTGAGGGAAATGGCCCGAGTTTGCCGACCAGGAACAGGGAAGGCGGTGCTTCTGACCCAGGATAAAAAGTGCTTTGCCAAGGTAGAGCATGTTGTCTGTGTCCTCCGTTTTTGTCTACCAGCCTAACATTAAGACATAATGTAGAGAATTGGCAGCAAAACTTGCTGATCCTCTTAACTAGCTGAGCGTATTATTCCTTATTTGACCTGAGGTGTACGCTTCGTATTAAGACAATGGAACCTTTGTGTTTCCCAACAGGAAGCTGAAAGTCTCTTCCTGAACGCAATGGCTTACTTTAGATAGTATGTAATTGGATGAATGATTTAGGATTTGCCTTGTAATTCTGTAGGTTTGTACACATGTAAATGAATAATTAAATTTTCATATTGGGGAAGGAAAGTCTCCTGTCTGCTTTCTCTCCCTGTACCTGAGAATGACTATATGCAAATTCAAAGTATAACAGTTAGTCATAGTTGACCATTGTGTTAGGGGAGAAGTATCTTTCCCTAAATTAATTTCCTGGTCGAGGTGGTTTTGGTGTTGTAGCTTAATTGTATATTTCTATTTATCCGAACAAAGCAGTATTTGTAATTAACGGAAGGCAAATTACCCATTCTTCATCTTGTGTTTGTTTTAAGAACGATGGTTCTAGTTTTGTACTTGTAATATTACTAGTCTCTGTAAGTAAAAAATGTGTTTAAAATTAATTTCAGGCTTTGTCAAGGATGGGGGGACTTTGGCGCAAGTCTCACACGGTATGGGTGAACATCGGAGGGCTCCATGCCGGCGTGTTTCTCCTCAAACGGGTAGCATCGGTTTTTGGGGAGACTCCTGAAGACCTTGGTCAGAGGCCTGGCCCAGGAGGAAGTGCGGCGAGAGCTCAGAAAGAAAATGAAGGGGACTGACACACTGTTTGGCTTTCTTTCTGTGCTCTGGGTTAGTGTGTGCACAGGTGAATGCAAAGACGGCAGTTAACGCCTTAAAGAAATTATTTACATTTAGTTTAAAAATGTTTAAAAAATAAATTCTTCCATAAAAGTCATTTGTGCCAAGTCTTCATTTTATCTTTGATTCTTAATGTCTACTTGTGAGAAACACACGTATGAAAATAATAAGCATTACAATCAAATCTAATTAAGTTTATTGCTTAATAGTTTAATATTCTCTTATATTCTGCAAAATACATTATTATACACATGTAATTTAATACACGTTTTCCTGGACGGTTTCAGCGTTGTTTATATGTGAAGAAGTCACCCACTAAGATATAATTTTTGAACCAGCCAGCTGTTTTACGTGGGTAAAGTTTCTGTCAAACTAATAACACATTTGAGTTGGCTTTTTTTACTGAATGGAGGACTAAAATGTTTTCATTTCCGAATTCATTTACAAAAGCTAAACGTCATTCTAATGTATGGATTGTAAAACATGATCATAAACATCAGATTCTCTCCATTACTGTCACGTATTGCCTCGTACAATATAACGTACCAATGTGTTTCCGCACGTAATCATCTACGAAATACATGATTAATTCGACGCAAACAGCGTAACTATGGTTTACGCCATAAATAAACAAACCTCGGGATAGCTATTTACGTAGTCAGTCTTAAAAACGTTAGTGGGGCGGGAGCTATTCCATGGCTGATGGATTTGATAATAGGTTGCATGCATTGCATGTTGAAGCCAACATTTTCCCAGCCCACAAGTTAAGTCGTCTAAGTTAAACATTAAACGTAATGGCTGGAGATCAACACCCCTTTTACGCCCCTTAACAACGTGGTTTGGAGTTATAAAAACATTACGACTGGTAATACCCTCGCCATCCCGGGCAGGCAGCGGACACAGTGACAATGATCTGGACAGTGCTTTTACTATGCTATACTCTTATATTACTCTTTGTAATCCTTTCGAATCGCAAAAGGTGAGTACAGTCACTGGGATATTTCTTTTTCCTGTGATATGTTGATAATCTAATTTAACTGGAAGTAGGTTTGTAGTAGGCTGCTTTTTTCTATACTGTACTGTTTTATATGATGATATTTAAAAATGATATATTTCTTATATCATATATATTTTATATATATGATATAAGTATATATAAGTTTACGGAAAAGTATGTAATCAGTCGTATGTGTGACGCAATTTAGTGACAGTTACACTATTCGCATCTTCAACACTTTTGTATTCAGTGTATAAACCTGTATGCAAGGAAAAAGCGTTCCTAATATTTATATTTAAAATGGTATCTATTATCCACCCAAAGCACCGATCACGGGTCGACTGTATTCTGAAGGTGAAAAGAGTTTTGCTGATGAATCTCTTACTTATATCTGTATGAGTTAAATATAGATTGAATATGATATGAACAGGGCTGTAGCAGAAAGTCTGCGGTTATATCTCAAAATCTGTACAGGTATGTAGTCATCTGGATAGCTAAACGTTTTTTTCTAAAAGCAACAGGAAAGTATGCTGGCAGTTAATTATTTTTCTGACAAAACATTGTAACTGAAATGCAGTGTTTGGGAAGTTACTTATGACTAAAAGGAGCTAAGCTTCAGACAGGCTACTGTTTAATAACTACAAGCTACAGAGAAAAAGTAGCCAACTACATTGAAGCTATTTCATCGAGTAATACTTAATGTTTGTGCTGTACTCTTAAGGCAAGTTAATTAAAAGTGTGAAACATGATGTTAAAAGTAATTTGAAAATCTATTTTTAACGGTGTCAGATCACAATAAGGTTTCAAAAGAGTTTGTTGTGAACCAAGCGTACTTCACAATTGCTGTGTGAAAATTAGAAGGGATACAACAAAAAAGAGAGAGATTTTGATAATCTGTCCAAGAACCATAGATGTAAAAAATAGTCGCTTGAAAAGCTCCAGCGTTTAAAAAGTAGATTCACTAGTAATAAGCGACTGAAAAGTTAAGTTACTTGCGTCGGTAATTGTAGATAGCTGCTCCCCAATACTGCTGAAATGATAAGGGCAGCAATCCAGATTACACTGTCATGTGTAACTAATAACAATTTAGTAACATTGAGATGTTGTACTAAAGAACAATGTCCATAAGTAATAGCTTCATGAGCAGAGTGTATAAACCAGGCATTTTGATTCGAGAATCTGGTAATCTGATTTATACTAGTGGCTGTGCTGTAGCTGCAAATCATATAACATGAAATAATCTTAAATTAGGGATAGGATGAATCGGTGAATACCTAGACATTATGGGGCCCGTGACACAATGTCACTTTGGCCCCCCTCCACCCAATTTTACATGTCATTTTACATATTCAATGTCCCCTGTGAAGTGCTGGCCCCTCTGAATCTGCCAGGGTATCTATGCCCCCCCCCCCAGCACCCCTGGAAAGAATACAGTACACTTCTGAAGAGGTGGGGGCCTTATAAAATGGGCCCCATGCTTAGGGATACAAATTAACACAAAGTCTAGCCTTTATTTAGTTGTGATGACTGTAGAAAGTGGCTGTTCTTATTAGTCTGATTTACTGTTTTTTAGTACATACATTTAAAATGGTTCTGTGCCCTTCTTTTGTGGCACTGATTGTGCTTAAATTGCAGTTAAACCTAAGAAACTCAATTGGATGAGTGAAACAAACTGCTGGGTGTTTCACTTGCAAAATGCAAACTTCTCTTTCTGATACCATTTGGATAAAAATATTTGTGAATATAAATTAAAAATGAACTTGTATTTTAAACACAGAACCAAGAGAGAACCACCTTTGGACAAAGGCGTTATTCCGTGGCTTGGACATGCCCTCGAGTTTGGAAAGGATGCGGCGAAGTTTTTAGCTCAGATGAAAGAGAAACATGGAGACATTTTCACGGTAAGAGTTTTTCTGTTATGCTGATATGGCTTAAACAACTTTTAAACATCCGTCATATGGTTGTGAAATGCTGTAAATAAATTCATACATTGATTCTTATGTTTAATTAAATAATAGGATAGGAATTAATTAATGTTTAACCATTTGGTTTTGTTACATATAGTTATCCATGATACATTCCATTTAATGTATTTCAGTTTCATAGAAGATGAGGATTCTAGGAGGTTCTCAGAAGTAGAAATGAGTGTCATTGCCTAAGGTGAAAGAGATTCGCAGACTAATGCGTCATTATCCTCAGGTGCGTGTAGCAGGGCGCTACGTGACTGTGCTCCTGGATCCAAACTCTTATGACGCCGTCCTGCAGAACTCAGCATCACTGGACTTCAGCCGTTATGCCAAGGTTCTGATGGAGAGGATTTTCCTCTTGCGTCTGCCCCAGTACGATCCCGTTACTGAGAGGGCTGCTATGAATCAGTAAGCGACTTGATATACTTCAACCTGCTTCAGGAGAATCCAATGAGAATGCATTGACTAGGAAAATATGTGTTGTTGTTATATCCTGAACGATCGACATTAGAAAATTTGTTGTCATGTGTTCTATTCAGTGACATTTCTTTCTTTGTACGCGACTTCTTTTTTTTGTTGTTGTAATGTTTTCACTTTCATCCTGCATCTTGTCATGTGACCAAACATTTTATTAAAGCTGCTAATCCCTCAGACGCAAGGACAGACTGTTGGTCAATAGCTCTGGTCATTTAAAGCTGATTTTGTCAGCAAGATGGTGCTGGGTAAAAATCAAGTAAATGAATGAATCAGCAGCGTGAATTATGACGTTGAACTCAAATGCCTAATGGTTGACCTATGACCTCATCACCATCTGCCACAGGCACTTCCATGGAGAGAACCTGACATACTTAAATGCCACCATGCAGAGGAACCTCCAGACCCTTCTGACATCAGACATTCTTCAGAACAGGATGGACTGGAAACAAGATGGGCTGTTTCGCCTTTGCTACAGCCTGCTATTCAGGTCTGTCTCCGGTGACATTCGCCCTAGATAAACAATTTACAAAGTCGTGTACGTCGGGCCCCATATTTGTAAGCAAAAGAACGTGTGTAATGTGAACCTACACATAGTTTGTGGTCCGAAGAAGAAAATATTACTGTGTCCTTATTAAACCACCCACACGGACCTCTTTGGTCCATGGACAAGAACAGGAAATAAACAGTTTATTAACATCATAACACTGTAAGTCATTGTAATTACACAATTAAACCTTCCTATTTTTGTTTTTTAGGGCTGGATACCTTACACTCTTTGGTGCAGGACAAAACAGCAGCCCGGACACTGTCTATGATGAGTTCAGGAGATTTGACGGACTCCTGACAAAAATGGCCCGGACCACTCTTAAGCCAGGTACTGAGTGGAGGAATGCAGGAGGCGAAACAATATAATTACTAAGCACCTAATGTTAAAACATGTCAATTCTGAGGGACTTCTCTGTTTGATAGCTGCACACCTACAGTTTCCCTCTTAACTTCCAGTGAGAGCTGACCCCTGGAAGCTTATCTGCAGATTTGCATCATTTTTTGGGGTCACAGTTTCTTACCAATGCCATTTGACTACATTTCATTGTCATCATAGCTGATCATCCCTCTGCCTCTCCAGACCTCTCACGCCTGTGTCACCTCAATCCCTTTGCCTCATACCTGGATTTGTGCTGCCCCTTCCAGTCTTATCTGACCTGTCAATCCTCAGCCTTCCCTGACACATTCAGGGAAGTCCCTGCTATTTATCTTCATATCTTACTAACCCTACCCTTGGCCCTTTGTCGGCTACAGAGGAGAAACGTGAAGCCCAACTGGTGCGTGAACGGCTATGGAACTTTCTCACATTCATGGGGCCAGACCAGAGGGAGGGGCCTAGTCCCTGGCTGCAGAGCTACCTGAAACGTCTGCAGGAAGAGGGTGTGGACCGGGACACACAGAGGCGGGCCTTGCTGATGCAGCTTTGGGCCACTCAGGTGAGCCGTGAAGTTTCGTACCGCTAGAGAATGTGCCACCAGCGGTACACAGAGTGCCAGATCATTATGAGCTATTCCCAGAGGCTTTCATTGCGTCAGTGAATCGCTTTCTTTGATTATCCGCCTTTCACACGCTGGAACTTAAAATTTTATTTGCAAGCCCCACGGCAAAACTTGGCCAGTTGTCCCAACATTAGTTATGGGTCACGTATTGTTAATTAAATCAAAGCAGTTGAAGACGTCAACTCTGTTCCTGTCGCTCACCCACTGACCCCATGCAGACAGTGCATTCAGTAAGCTGAGGTGGCAGGGCCTTATAAGTATTGGCCTGTTTGTTGCTGTGCCTTCTGGTCTCCTACTCAATGCACCAGCCTCTACTGGAGGTGACAGTCTTCTGTATTTTCAGAGGAAATCTAGCTGCATCCCTTGTGGCAAAAAGAAACACACGCAGCATAACTTGAGTGCAATACCTCAACTTGCCACCTGAGTACAATGTTGGCTTATGAGTTCACTTGGTAATTGTTATTTTAATATGGACTCACTAAGACATTACAGAAAATCAGTTTTTTGAAGGATAGGAAGTCTTTATAGACTACAAATGCAAGGTGGGGTTTCGTATTTGTTCCTCTTCCTCCAGTGAATTTGAAAATCACCTGTCTGCAGCCTGTAATGAGAGTTTCTACTCAGCTTCCCCTCTGTATGATGGACAGTGGGATAGTGTGCTACAATTCACCTATTTGAACTCCTTTCCTAATCCCTTTAAGGGTTTATTGAAAGATCCAGGACCAGTGGGAATGTAAATAATCTAAAGATGTACTCAAGAAATTGAAAATGGCTTCCACCTTCATCATCTTCCTGTGTATTCCCATACCAATGAATACCACAAGGAATGGTCATGAAGACTATATAACATATGGTTTATATTTAACTGCAAATATACTGAGCCACACACAGTGAGGTACACACAATTACAATATACAGTTACAGCTCTGGGTCTTATGATGTGCATCTGGGTCTCTCTCTGTTGCCAGGGTAATACAGGTCCGGCTACATTCTGGCTCCTTGGATACCTGCTGACCTTTCCGGAGGCCATGGAGGCTGTGAAGAGAGAGTTTGAGGGCCTCATGCCTGCAGAAGGGGCATCTGAGGAGGCCTTCCTTGAAAATCTGCAGAACACACCTGTGTTTGGTGAGCTTCACTCGCACACCATTAGCAATTATGGGCTCCTACAGGATCCGGCAGCATTACATCTGAAAAAAGATGAGCTTTGGCATTTAAAAGGAATGTTTCTATTCTGGATAAGGATCATTATTCCCCTTAATTTTAGAATGAAACCATAGCTTGAATGAATGAATGAAACCATCTTTTTGTCATAAACTGTTGATTTACTATAGTTTTTTTCTTCTTATAAAGTGTACTTCCAGAAAAGGAAAAAGGGTTTAGGTAGCTCCTTCAGTGTATCTTTAAATTGTTTACATCCACTCAGCCCTAGATCTTTCAATTCATAAAATATATTAATCAATTAACAGAAAATAAATTAATCAATAACTTAAATTAGTCAATAACCTAAGATTATTTACATTTCCTCCGGTCCTACTTTTTCATCTTTCCAACACGCAATACCTTCTATTCTTCAGTTATAAATAATTGTACAATATATAAACATGCAATATAAAACATCATCACCAGGTAGCATGTATTATAATATATGGATCCATTTGCCCCAAAGGCCTGAACCTGATGGGTAGATACTAAAGAAATGTCCTGTAGACAGTAGGACCTTAGACCTAATTTACTGCCACACTCTTCTCCCTTCTTCCATTTGGTTGTAGTACCACTGGCCCACCTGCTGTCAGTACCATAAAGTGTGCCTGCAGTGCTGACATGAGCCTCTGCTCTGCATCAGGCTAACTGGACCTAACTACATGGCGATGTGCATGGAGACGCACTGCAGCACTGCATCTTATGCGGCTTTGTTTTTTAATATTCTCAGACAGTGCCCTCAGCGAGGCCCTCAGGCTCACCGCGGCTCCTTTCATCACCCGAGAAGTTCTGGTGAACACCACGCTTCACATGGCAGACGGGCAAGAGTACGACCTCAGGCAGGGAGACAGAGTCTGCCTCTTCCCTTACCTGAGTCCTCAGATGGACCCTGAGATCCACCAGGAACCAGAGGTACAACTGACCCTTAGCTCACACTGCACTGCTCTACTTGCCTAAAGCCTGCAGTAACCTTTAGCTCTGATGTCAGCCCCTGCTTACTGCATCTCAGTGTTATTTCAGTCTGTCCACTTCACTATGAAAGCAGATTTTGTGCTTACATGATAAAGCAATTAAGAGGTGCTTCACAGATTAGACTCTGCCGTAGTAGAAACAAAGGTTAGAGGTATGTCATGGGTGATTTTATCAGCCTATAATAGTGATGACTGTATGATAGTGACAATAGTGATGACTTTATCCATGAGAGAGCATGGGTCCTACTCCATATGTAATAAAGCGGGAAGCGTCATTCATCACTTGTCACTAACCTCATCTAATTGTCATCCCTAACGTGGCTCTGTGTCTTTCTGTTCTTTTTCCTCTTTTGGTTTCTTCCCTGTTTTCTGGGTAGAAATTCAAGTATGACAGGTTTCTGAACACAGACGGCACGGAGAGGAAGGACTTTTTCAAAGGTGGACGAAAGATGAAGTACTACACCATGCCGTGGGGAGCGGGGAAGAATGTGTGTGTGGGCAGACATTTCGCCATCAGCGGCATTAAGCAGTGAGTGTCCTTGTGAGGGGGGAGACCTCTGGTCACCTAGTTGGTCTATAGTCATTGATTAGCCGGGGGGGAATCCGTCCAGAGCCCGGAGAAATCCGTTTGTCAATGGCATACAGAGGTTATGCTGATCTCCTAATGTAGCATCCATAATTTAATGTTACCTTCGTGCCACATCATGGTCCAACCAACAGCTACAGAACTGTGTTGTCAATGGCATACAGAGGTTATGCTGATCTCCTAATGTAGCATCCATAATTTAATGTTACCTTCGTGCCACATCATGGTCCAACCAACAGCTACAGAACTGTGTTATTGTGATAATAGTAATGATGATGATAATGATAATCATAGTAATGTGCAGTATGTTTGTGCCTGATAAATAGTAGCTAAATCAAGTCATAACCTACTTGAAATGCCAGCTTGTTTGGATGATGCGTTAAAGACATAAACCCACACATGAGCTTAACTATTGGCTATTGTACCGAGCATGACCTAACCAGCTTTCCCTCTGGATTGGACAGGTTTTTGTTCATGGTACTCACTCGCTTGGACTTGGAACTGTGTGATCCAGACTCAGAAATGCCAGTGGCAGATGCCAGCCGTTATGGATTTGGCATGCTGCAGCCAGCAGGAGACCTGCAGATCCGGTACAGGCTTAAAGACCCGTCATAGGATACAGGAAGACAGAGGCTGACAGAGGACCATTTCAGCTCAGTCTTTAAAACCTGCAACAGTGTTACAATGTTTCTTTCATTAAGTGTTACATTTTTATTTGCCATGTAATTATTTTGTATTTCTCAGCATATTTTAAGTTATAACATTAAACATTTTAAAGTTTATTATTATTGTTATTATTATTATTATTATTATTATTGTTGTTGTTGTAAATAAAGGGGTTAATGAAGTGTCACAGTATTGTGCTATATAACCAGAACCTCTTAATGTACATACAATACAATACTTTTATTGACTGCATCTGTGTCTGTATTATTATTATTATTAGTAGTAGTAGTAGTAGAAGTAGTAGTAGTAGTAGGAGTAGCAGCAACAGAAGAAGTAGCAGTATTATTTCGCATTTTGTCTTGGAATAGCATTAATCAACTACTTTAGCAGTGTAGTAATATGCACTAGATTCTCCAGCTTTCATGCTAAATTACAGTTTTGCACTCGTGTTTGAGGCAGGGACTTTTAAATAATGAGGCGGCTGCTGGTAGTTTAAACATTTACTGACTGCTCATTAATTATGCTGACCCGATGTTTTCGGCGACTGTTAAACAATCTCCCCTCCTGTTCAGCCCTTGTGGAACATGACTGGAAAGTTAAGATTGATGCCCAGTTACGCAAAAACGTAAAGCTGTTTTGACGTCGAGCATTTACTTTTAAGATTTAAAATTAAAATAAAAATGTTTTTCTTTTGAAGAAACCAACTTCTTTGCCATCAAAACTTGTGCGCGCTTATTTGTCCTGTTGTGGCAGATAGCGATGGTTTTCCTTTGGATCTAAGAAACGGGGTTGTGGGCGTGCTTGCGGTAAGTGGGTTTTCACCTTTGTCAGTCAATTGTGTACTGTAATTAAAATATGCCTACAGTTTTATAATATAATTTATTATCTTTGCTTGGAGTCCTTGCTTGCAAGATCTTTGCTTGGAGTCTTAAACGCCACTTACAATAGCAAACGCGATTGGATCTGCAGTTATTCTTTTCTACGAAGACAACATATTAAAATTCTGGAAAGATAAACTATTTAAATTAATCACTCGTTCTGTTGAATATGTGTATTCTTTAGTAGTAGTGCGGTAAAGACATTGCATGGCTCCACGGACGAGATCTATGCACCCACGACATGCTACGCCCTGTCGTTTTATGTGTTACCAGCGTCAGGTCTTACTCAGATGGTCCAGCAACTTTACATATCCTGGAGAGCAACGGATAAGACGGCACATGTAAAACATAAACATTTATTAATAAGCTGATAATTTAGCTGACAATATTTATACATATTTCTAGCATTTCTCATCTGTTCACCCGCTGCCATCTGAATTCTCTTCGTATTAACAAACTGCTATCTAAATTAGGCTGCTACTTCCTCTCCTTCTTGTAGCCAAAGTAAACAGAGTCTCCTGGAAGAAACAGTTCCGAAGAAACAGCCCGTTACAATATTAATCTCGAAAGAAAACGTTGCAATCGGCTAAATGCTCATAAAATTTAGAACGGTTCCATGTCTTAGGCCTATATGCTGTACTAATATATATATATATATATATATATATATATATATATATATATATATATACACTGTATATCAGACCTTTTCAAATTTCCTTCTCAACATTTATTCTTGTTGTGATAAATCATCCCTTAACTCTCAGCCTGCATAGTCTGAATGTAATAGGCCTACATTACCTAAGGCATGGTATGTTAGTACGACGAATATGTATAGTATTGAAATGCTACACGCCTGTCATTACTACACCCAAGTATGCGTCAGTAATAAGTGACGCAAAAGACGAGCGTTAGCCATATTATGTTGACATGATGTGTTTGTCACCGTGAATGTTACTGTATGCAGTGCACTGTGGTTCATTGTCATGAAGTAAAATTCTGCTAGTCAGATATAGTTAAGGCTACATTATTCATATATATATATGCCTACATACAATTTCACCGTTTCATCGGCTTGTATAAAGACAACACACCTATTAAACTATTCCATAATTAATCAATTTATCCCCTTAATTGGGTTATAAATATGCTCCTTTTTGTAGCCTATATATCGTGCTTCGTTTTCGTGTCTTTGTTTATTGGTTATTGGATAGTCTAGGACAAGAATCAAACATGTGGCTTTTTTTAGTACACATAAGGGCTGTGCTGATTTTGAAGCAAGGGGATATGCCACGATTTGCTTAGCCAAACCGGGAGGGTGTAGATCCGTGCGCAGCCCCGCACGTACGAACCGCAAGAGTTAAATATGCCGGTGGTGGTGCTGGAGCCCGTCGGCGGACTCACCACGAGTCTCCCCTCTCCTCCCCTCCCCTCTCATCCTCTATTCATCCCTCCCTACTTCCACTCCCCCTCCCCCAGCAGAACCCCTCCGGTTTGTCACCCTCCATGCAGCGACTCCACGATCCGGTATAGAAAATCATATGGATTCCCGACATACTTGTTGATCTTTATTGTTGCACAGAGAGGAAATGTGACTGTACGAGATGCAGCCTTTTTAAAACCCCTTTTCCAAAATGACTGAGACAGCACATGGAATACGCGTGATAAAGCATTGACGATTTTCCACATTTATCTCCATTGGAGTGGTTTTATGCTTTCTTCCAGGTCGCAATAAAGGTACGTAATTATGTCATTTCAGAAGATGGTTTTCGGTCGGAAATAATCTGTACAAGCGAGGTAATTTGCTTGACTTCTCTTTGCCGAAATAATAGAACAAACTGTACAATCCTGTGAGGTGTGCGGACTTGCTTCCCATCAAAACATTTGTCGTCCCTGTCACAATCTCTGGAAAGCAACAAATTAGAGCATTTTAACTAATACAGCTTCCCATGTAATTTAAGCAATGCAAATAACGCGTACAGGTTATTCTCCTCATTAACGAGGACGTTGGATCGTTTATATATTAATTAAATGTACATTTAACTACCACTTTTTACACTGACCATTGGCTGTATGCGTGTCACTTTTATTACTCTATATTAACATATTGTAGTTTAAGGCGAGACACGAATATTTGTTTTGCTTAGTAATTCGTTTTTAACGTTCAGGTTAATGAAACATTTGAGAGTATTTTAATAAAAATATCTATACAAACAATAAGACTGGCATATAACCATCTCAATAGGGTTGTGTGTTAAACTTGAAAGTCACTTATAACTGAAGGATTTTCTGCACGCATTGGCTGGTTAAATACATAAATTCTGTTCACAGTGGATTGTTTCAACTGTCCATTAGCCTATTCTCATTTTTAACTGAGTATCGTTGGCTTTAAACGCTACAGTACAATAGCCAATTATTTATCGTTAGCTGTTTTTTTTTTTTGTCAATATCTCCAGTTTCGGACTGGTTACCACCTCCATGATCACCTTCAATTTACTGTAACTTTCTGAATAAATAAAAATATATATACTGAGCGACTTATATTTAATTAAAGGTCGTAATTGATTTCAAACCTGAGAATTTACAACTGTGTATAAATGTTATCGTTTCTGAGAGTGACAGCGGCGATTTCAGCACTGCTTCCTTGGACAGCGCTCCAAACTAGAGAGTCATCCTTTCCCAAGAACTTTGTACAGCAGACCTTCTGTGTGACTTAGACTCGATTGAATTATCTATTCCTTTCTCTGATTAGTACGTATGTTCTTTTCCAGTGTTCATATGGGGTTTGTCACCATTTTAGACTTGATGTCTTTTGTTTAACCTCCCAGGCGCAAGAATGGAGGAGAGAGAAATCAAATGTAGACGGTAAATCCCTCCCGGATAGAGTCTTCAGGACTGCATGAACTTTTCCAGCCTTGTGGAAAATACTTTTTCAGGGAGGATGAATAAATCCGGGTCAAGATCGATTTCTTCTCTGCCCCCAGAGCCGGTGGAAATTCTGCGACGCAAGGCGGGTACTAGGAGAGTCAAACTTAATGTTGGAGGACTTCTGCACGAAGTTCTGTGGAGAACGCTGGACAGGTTACCCCGCACGAGACTAGGAAAGCTACGAGATTGCAACACCCATGACTCATTAATCGAAATATGTGATGATTACTGTCTGGAAGACAATGAGTATTTTTTTGACAGGCACCCCGGCGCATTCACTTCCATCCTAAATTTTTATCGCACGGGTAAGTTGCATATGATGGAAGAAATGTGTGCCTTGTCCTTTAGTCAAGAGCTGGACTACTGGGGCATTGACGAGATATACCTGGAGTCGTGCTGTCAGGCTCGGTACCATCAGAAGAAGGAGCAGATGAACGAGGAGCTGAAACGAGAGGCGGAAACTCTGAGGGAAAGGGAGGGGGAAGAGTTTGACAACACGTGCTGTGCAGACAAACGAAAGAAACTCTGGGATCTTCTCGAAAAGCCAAGTTCATCACTTGCAGCAAAGGTAGGAGGGCAGTATGTCATTTTGGTTTGGGGGGGTGACTTCATAATTGAAATACATACAAAGGGCTGTTTTTTGGGAGGGGTGTTACGGAAAATTCAGTTCCCACAGTTCCTATGCTCTTGGTCATTTCTATATAGGCCTATGTATCAGTTGTCATCCAATCAACGTAAGTTGTGCAGTTGAAACCACAACAAATGTTCTCAACGGGGATTTATTAACCAAAATGTCTCCAATGACAATTGTGGCCCCATGTTTAGAGAATGCAATTTCAAAGTTTTTAGTGCCGAACAGATCTCTCTGTAACTTTTTGGGCTGCATGACCCACATCAGTATGTTATATTCACCTGGGAACTATTGCGCAAACAAAAAGAATAATCACTTAAACTTTTAAAAGGTTAAACCGTCTGAAGGTCCACTAAAGCGATAGTTATTCTTGCGCGGGAAGATGATTCACCACACGTCACGTGGCTGTATAACAGGCACATTTTTGCTTTCCAGATGACTGTCATTTATATTTCATTACATTGCAGTTTGTTTATATTAAGTACTGTTTATTCATTTAATGGTGTGTAGGGAGAAGGGAGGAACTTGCATGTGACGGGCATTTTACAGGCAATAATAATCAGGTGCATATATACAAAATGGCAATAAGAATAGAAGAGTTATATAGATAGTTTAGCCATATATATGCTGTATGTGTGTGCTGAAGATGCATAGGCATGGCACGTTTATTGGAAGATGAAAATGATTCGTAACACTACTGGGTGATGCTGAATGCTGAAGTCCTTTATAATATAAATTATGTTGAATAATTAGTATTAATATCATTACCAATATCAATATTATTATTGAGCCTCAAAATTGACACCTGCTGGCTTAATTTGAATTTATTTGGGCACATGTCAGTATGTGTGTGTCAAATCTTCAACATATCTAGTTTGCTATTTACAGAAGCCTGTGACGAATGAGGTTGTCTTGGCAACCTTCAAGACATTGTCTCCATCCTGACTGGAAAGTTATGACGTATATACTGAAACAGAGGGAGACATATATTGTTGAAAGGTTAATTTTTTATATTGATTCCTTGGTTTATTTTGGCGAATAACATTCGACTCAAAGGATTTTTCAAGTGTCAAATGAATTTTCCACTAGATTCACCAGAATTACTGGTTCAGTTATGATTGTATTATTCTGTACTTAATATTTTTAGTTGCTTATTATTTATCGTTGTTTGTGTTATGTATGTGCACAGCGTTAATTTGCTGGTATCGGTGCACCACAAGATCATCAGCAGTCCAATATCAAGGTGTTTGCGCAGTGATAGAAACTGTGTATAATCTGAAAAAAATGGAGCACATTTTCTATTATGAGTCTAAAAAGGACAATAATCAAGTGGCAGGCAGTTGTGATCAGAGGGGTTGTTTGAGGGATTGTTTTAGTTGAGAGAGAATTGTGTGGATACAGAGATGTTTGGGATTGGTGAAAATGTTTTTCTTTTTGTCTGTCAAGCAGGGGCTTTATATCGCCAGAACGCAGCAGGTATTATAAAACTAGCTAATCCTCTGCAAAGATTCAGCTTTCATGGTAGGGGGTGGGGGCATTTTTAGATATTTGTACAAAGTAATGATTTTTCTGCTGAAGTGAACAGCTGCACATGTGACACAATGAGTGAGAATAGAGGAGCAGAAATGCACAAGGATGAGCTGTGCTGCAATGTGGGAACTGTGGGAGATGTGGAAACTGTGGGAGCTGTGGGAACTGTGGAAGTTGTGGAAACTGTGGGAGCTGTACTGCAGTGTGGGAGCTGTGGGAATTGTCGGAACTGCGGGAGTTGTGGAAACTGTGGGAGCTGTGGGAATTGTGGGAGCTGTGGAAACTGTGGGAAAAGGTAAAGGTGCTCAGGAAGGAGAGAGCAGTCTGAACACTGTAAAGTAGGGGGTGCTAATACCCTGAAGAATTCTCAGTTTGTTAGAGTGGCTGGAGAGACCAGCAGTGCACATCTCAGACAGTCCTAGGATATACAGAGAGTGTCCTAGAATATATATGTCATTCTGCAGATTGACAGCATGATGTGTTTCATCATAAGTCGCATATTCAGAAACAGACTATTATTCAGGATGGAGAAAATGGCTAAGAGGAGACAGTGTGACAGCAGAGGGTGCCACACCTGACACTCTACCCTCAGCTACACGTGGCCTCATTACTGATTTGAGATACTTTTACTTTAAGCCTATCCTTCTGTACAGCCTCCTGACCAAAACTCAATCTGCCCAGGATTCCCAATATGCCAGCACTGTACATCAATTCGCAAGTGGTCATCTTCGGCAGACATCCAGCTGACAGAACTGGGACAATTTTTCATCCTCTGGGCCACAGACATTAAACATAGCGCAGCTGCATTTGAAACTGAATTCTTGGGTGTGTGTTGATTTGATCTGTGCGTCCCTGGGCAGGAGCATGGACTGCTAGGTTGGTTTATCTGAATGTCTTTGCTGGTTTGTCTGAATGTCTGTTGTAGGAACAGGGGAGCAGCTAGACATTCTGGGCCTCCTGATAAAATGTTACCTTGGGCCCCCCTGTCCCCCTTACATTGTATAATTTTATGTAGTCAAGGGTCCCTGTAAAGTGTTGGACCCCCTGAATCTGCCCGGGTATCCATGCCCCCCCCCCCCTTCACCCCTAGGTAGGAATAATTTGCTGGTCCACTCAGCCCCTTGACACACAATAACAACGAGCTACAGCAACTCTGCCAAACCACTGTCTTACTGATGTGAATTACAGCTTGTTTTATGTCATTTCATCAACAGTAGCACTTACGAGAACTATATTTAGGCATATATTTTAGATCAATAGAGGCACCCTCTTTTTGTGCTTCTAGAGTTCCGTCTGTCTGCTGTAAATTACTGTTAATCACCTAGCGCTCAAGAACGGCTCAGATCTTCCTTGTATTATTCACAAAAACCTTTCCAAAATTTCTTACATTTCCATCGTACGCTTACTTTACAATGGTGTGCTACTTTTTTGTTTGTTCATATCTGTCCTGCAATAAATCATGTTCTTTTTTGCACAGGCAAATATATCGATAAACGATTCCTCAAAAGCAATACATAAAAAATCTTAAGATAAATCTTAAGGTAACTACTAACTATATTATGGATTGTTAATTCATAAGAGAAGCAGATGTTTTGATAGAGAAATAGAGCTTGAAACCTATGGCTTGTCAGTAGCAATAGTGAAACTGCAATCTGTAATAATGGTCTTTTTAGAATGAGCTCCGTTTGCTAATTACTCTTCTTTGGGAATTACCACTGCACAGTGAGAGAGCATGTGGAAAATGTGTTTGTCCTCTCTGTTTGACTGAGGCTGACTCTGTTTGAAGAGGTATGGGAGCAGATGGGGGCTTTGATACCACAGCTGGAAATGCGAGTGAAAGACCTGGTTACTTGGCAACGTCACTACGCATTAGGAAATAAAGACGGCTGCATAGAGAATGTCTGACTTGAAACAAAACGAAATGGCATTAATGAACCTCTTAGGGGTGGAGACTGAACATGGTGCACAACCTTTCCGTTCCCTGAAAGTTCTTTCTATTCTAGAAACAGTACTTCAGGTCGAGGGGAAGTTGTCACTATAGGTGGCCTAATCTCTGCCTGATCCACGTCTATGTTTGTCTCCAGCCTGCTCAACTCTAATTGCTTCAGTGCCCAGACTGTACCCCAAACCATCAGCTAAATGTCAGGAAGACGTCACAACCAATATTTGTCACGTCTCGCCTTGTTTTTCGCACTTCTGAAAGTGTGCTTTCTAACATGTCACTGTTAAGAGAATAACTACTGTGCACAGAAGCAATAAAAACCACTGCAGCGATATTCAGGTGTAAATAAAGACAATCTAGAGCCCTTACAATTCTTGTTTAAATATTTCCATTGATATCACGGTATATATCTTTGATATTTGCATTTATATAATTAAATATATATAATAGAATTTCATTGTATTGGTCCGCCTGCCTCTCTGCAGCAGTCATGGGCTTATGAGTTGCTTGTTGGTGTCAGAGTGTTTGTGAACACCCACATTCCTGTGTGCCTCAGCTGATAAACTTTTTTAGTGAAAGAAAGCATTCTGATCTGGAAGAGAATAAACTCTAATTCTTGTAACTGCAGGCATTTCTATTCCGCTGTAAATAAGAGAAGCTTTTTCCGGTTTTGCTTCTGTTTTCTGCGCTGCGTGGCTACTAGCTTCCATGAAACTTCACGTGCACAATGCGTGACACGAGGACATTGAGATTTCATTTTGTGAATTGGGGGCGGGGGGGTTAGTCCAGGCAAGCACGTAGATAGGTTTCAAAGTGTACTTTCCCATGCTTAATCAAAGGGCAGAATCCCTAAAACAGCCTGTTCCTCGGCACAGATTCCATTTCATTAATTTTACAGCAGCAGGTAAATTTTTCATTGTATGTTAATAAAGCTTGAGTTCACTCAGAAGGGGAAGTAGACTAAGGAGTGTCTGTGGTCCCTGATGTCAGTATCCATCCAGGTATAACCCCCAGACATAACATTCACAAGGTGGGGGGGGGGGGATATGCACAATCAACACATTCTGTTACATCTATATATTTAGCATATGTCTTTATCCTAACTGACATACAACTAAGAAACCATGGCTGCAGTTAAGCAGCATTCTCAAGGGCCCAGTGGTGAAATCACAGTGCTGCCCATGAGCTTGGAACCGGTGACCTTCCCGTCATGGTCTCAGAATCCTAACCCACAGAGCTGCACACTGCCCATCATAACTACATTAATATCATTTCATCTACAGTTGTACTTGATTAATTATGGATGTCTTGTTTGCGCAAATGTATGTATAACAAGCACAAGGCTTTCTGGAGAGTGCACAAAAAGAAATTGCTGTGTGTTTTATCTTAATGTGTTTTAAATAAGGCAAGTCCAGAAGAGTATCCAGGGACTGGGCAGAAATATCGCCAACTTCGTAACCTTCTA